AAGGGCGGGTGGTCCGGGCGCGCGACGGGCATTTTCGGCCGTGAGGGTTGGCGACACCTGCGATTGCCTGCTGCTTCGGACGATTGCAATGCCCACCTGCAAATTCGCGGAATGGCGCCACTGTCATTCGAAAGGCGGATACATCCGAGCGGGGCCCAAGAAACAAAAGTGGGCGGGAAAAGCCACGCCGGATGACGCGTTGGTACCGTCGATATCACGGTAAAATTCGAGTGGGCCCCGATATTCAAAAGTGGGCGGGAAAATTTGCGCCAGATGATGCGTTGGGACCGTCGATAGCACGGTGAAAAAAGGCCAGTCCTCTCGCAATCACAGCCCGCCCTCCCGCGACGGTTTCGGACCATGCAATTTCGTGAGGAGGGTCTGTCAAAAAAGGGACCGCCTGATGTCACAGCCCCCGACGCGGCAGTACCTGCAGCGGGCAGCCGAAGGGCCCCTCAAGCCCCACTCACTGCACTCTCCGTTCTCCTATCGGGCACCAAATGAATGGGGGTGGCTGTCACACCCGTTCGCTGGTGTCATGTCTTCCGTGTGCTGCCTTTGCGACGCGTTCGCCATCGCTCGAAGTCGCCTGCATCATATCGCAGGCCCCTTGCGCATCCAGGCCATCGTTCTTCCMGCAATCGTCGATAGCCGGGGGCGCTAACGAAAACGTCACGCGACTGTAGACCTTTTGTGTCGTCCCGTTCGCGTTGTGCGTTCTTGTGTTGGCTGGAGGCGTTTGTCGACTCGCAGGTCAGTAAGAAGCCCACGCCCCCTGCTCGACCCCTTCACCATTTCGAGCCCCCACGTCTTCCCATTGCCCTTCCGCTCCTTCGACCATGCAAGTGTTGTTCTCTGCCACCACCTGCTCCGCCAATCACGAGCGCACGATCTTGACCGCACGACGCCCACCGATCACAACGACGGAAGACCCCATGCAGTGACACACGCTGACGTCATCATCTTGCACATTACTTCAGCGACGGGCAATGGCTTGCGGCTTTCACAGACATCGGCCTCGAGTCTTGGCGTCCTCAACATCGCCTGTTTGCGTCCTCAACATCGCTTGTTGGCGTCCTCACCATCGCTTGTTGGCGTCCTCGACATCGCCCTCTAGTCTTGGCACCCTCCGTCGACCGCATCTGACGCGTGGAGAAAGTCGCATCGCCCTCGAGTCTTGGCGTCCTCGACATCGCTTGTTGGCACACTTTCTTGGACCCTGGCTCTCGGGTCGTCCTCCCCCAATCTACTCAGGATATCGCAATGCAGTCGGTCGTGCGAGTATTCTTCTACATCACCGCCTGCTCCGTCTATCACGCACGAGTCGACATGTGCGCGATCTTCAGTCCACGATGTCCGCAGCTCACAACTACGAAAGTTCCCTTCCTCACATTTCGATTCCAATTAATCGCAGCCTTGTTTTCAAGAGCAGCTTAGGGAGGCGTTCTCGGGATTGTAGTGGGAGTGAGAGAGTGCTGTTCGTGCCACTTGTTCCAGATGGAGTTCGGATTCATCCGATCTCGGGATGAAGGCAATAGAAGATGTCATTTGTGATGCAAGTGGTTGGATGACTATGCCCCCCTTACATCCGACCCATTGTTTACACACAACGTTCCCCCATCGAGAGTTTTGAGGCGACCCCCTTTCCATGACAACCCGCCACTCATGACTTCCGACGGAGTTCTTTGTCTCCCACGAGGGGTTATGCAATTCTCTGGCCGAACGTTTTTTGTTTCACCTCACTACGGAATGTGTGATGTAGTTCGGATGAATCCGAGCCACAACCCTCGGCTCGTGAGAAGTCTCAACGGGAACCGCATCCCTCCGATGTCTCAGTGGAAGGGACAACGACGGCACATGGGATCGCTTTCGAAGTAAACATCTCCTGAAATCATGAGTACGATAGCTCCCCATCTGCTTTTGCCTTCGTTTGTAGCTCGGATGAATCCGAACCACAACCACAGATGACTGACGGACGACAGTCGTGGCTTTTGTCAGTGTTTATTTATTTCGCATTGGGTTGTGCAATACTCACACAGGACTGGACGTTTTTTGTTTCGCCTCACTACGGAACGTGTGATGTAGTTCGGATGAATCCGAACCACA